TCTAGAAGAAAAACAAACCATACCCCCCCTCTAGAGCTTTGAGTGTTTTCTTGAACTGTTTCCACATGCATTCTTCTTCCTCACTCGTTTTAAGGTTTTTCAAGCGATTATATACATGGTTGGGAGAAATTGACCTCGTGTATATTTTCCTTGCTATTTAGTAATTTGTCCTAGAGTTAGTGTAGTGTTCATGATAGAAATGATATAGAAACAAACATCATAACCTTCAAGCAGATATTTGACAGAGCTGATGTATTTCACTCTACCCTGCAAAAAAAAAAGAATGAAAATGATGGCAGCTTACTAAAGATCATGATGTTTTCATGCAAATTGTAATTTTTTTACCATGTGAGTCTGACATTTTTTGAAGTCTGCAGGTTGTTATGTACATTATCTGATGTTGCAATGTCTGCTAATAAAGAAAACGGTGGAATTTTCCTCACTTTTGCCTCACATTCTTTTCTTCAGAAATGATAAATTAATTCAAAGGATATAAATACAGTCCTGTGTCTTTCATAAACGTAGATTTGCATATAATGTTGTAGTTAGAATTATTATAGTATTTTTGGTCCCACTTTATATTGTGGCCTTAACTAATATGTACTTACATAGGAATTAATAGTTTGTTACAATGTACTTATTGTGTAAATACATGTATTTACTGTGTACTTATGCTTGATTTAATACATGTATGTACTTACTTCTGTAATTAACTTTTGTAATTACATTTGTAAATACACTGTTGACCATCCCTTACACCTTAACCCACCCTTAAACCTACCCATACCACCAAACCTGTCCATAACCCAACCTCTATCCCAACTCAAAAGCACCACAAGTGTTCTCAAATACATTATAAACACAGTAAGTACATTGTATTTATTTTTCTGATGTAAGTACATAGTAGTTAAGGATACTTAATATAAAGTGGGACCGTATTTTTTTCTGTTTAATGGAGAAAAGCTTTTTTTAACACATTTCTAAACATAAAAGATTTAATAACTCATCACTAATAACTGATTTATTTTATCTTTGCTATGATGACAGTAAATAATATTTGACTATTTTTCAAGACACTTCTATACAGCTTAAAGTTACATTTAAAAGCTTAATTGGGTTAATTAGGCAGGTTTTGGTAATTAGGCAAGTTATCATATAACAATGGTTTGTTCTGTAGACTATCGAGAGAAAAAAAATAGCCTAAAGGGGCTAATAATTTTGTCCTTAAAATGGTGTTTAAAAAATTAAAAACTGCTGTTATTTTTGGCAAAATAAAACAAAATAGACTTTTTTTCTGAAGAAAAAATATTATCAGACATACTGTGAAAATTTCCTTCCTCTGTTAAACATCATTTGGGAAATATTTAACAAAGAAAAACAAATTGAAAGGGGGCTAATAATTCTGACTTCAACTGTATATAACTCTGAACAATATAAAGAGACATTTCTTGATAATTAATCTGGAAGTGGGCTGACACGGTGGCTCAGTGGTTAGCACTGTTGCCTCACAGCAAGACAGTTGCTGGTTCCTGCTCCGGCTGGGTCAGTTGGCATTTCTGTGTGGAGTTTGCATATTCTCCTTGTGTTGGTATGGGTTTCCCCTACAGTCCAAAGATATTAGCTATAGGTTAATTGAATAAACTAATTTGGCTGTAGTGTATGGGTGTTTCCTACTACTGGGTTGCAGCTGGAATCCATTGTGTAAAACATATGCTGGATAAGTTGGTGGTTCATTCCGCTGTGGCGGCCCCTAATGAATAAAGGGACTAAGTCGAAGGAAAATGAATGAATAATCTGGAAGTCCTTGTTGACCTTGGAGTGCGTCAGGAGATCAGTGGTTCTAAAGCACAGTAACTGGGGGAGGGGCAGACAGGAGCCACTCGTGTTATCAGGGGTCACACTTTAGCATATACATTATTCAGAATGATTTCATTGTCATTCATTTCATTTATCAATACAATTCAAGACGTAAGCTCATACACATATTACATATTCTACATTCTGATAAAAATTCAATTTAGCAAGCCAGTAAAACAAGTGGTTCTATAAGTGGCATTATTATTATTATTAAAGTAATTAATATCTCTTTCCTCTAAGCTTGCATAATCATGATTACTTCAAGGTGGCACTGTGGTTCAGTGGTTAGCACTGTTGCCTCACAGCAAGAAGGTCACTGGTTCGACTCCAGTTGGTATTTCTGTGTGGAGTTTGCATGTTCTCCCTGTGTTGATTTCCTCCTGGTGCTTCGTTTCCCCCCACAGTCTAAAAACATGCAATATAGATGAATTGTATAATTAATTGCCAGTAGTATATGATTGTGTGTGAATAGGTGAGTATTACTGTGTTGTGGCTGGAAGGGCCAACCTTTTCATTTTGTAACATTGACCCAAAGAAGAAAAAAAAAAAGAAAAAAATACATAGTACTGCAAAAAGAAAAAGAAAAAAACAACAACAACAACATAGTACTGCTATGTACTGCATGGTACTGCAAAAAGTTAGTTTATGTACTGTATGTGCTGTTTCCATGTTTGGATAGGTGTTACTGCAAATAATGACAAATATTTTAGCCAAAATCGGTTATCAATACCACACTTTAATCACTTAAAGTACCGGTAGGTACCGGGTTCGTGACGTCATCGACTTTCGCTTTCAGATTTAAAGGGCTAGCGTTGCACCAGACCCCCGTAAGTGGTGTCGTTTAAAAGAGTAGAATCTATATTTTATGCACATATGCATCACTTTGGTTTTTATACCACTGTACAAAAGTTATTTACACTTAAATACACAGTATTTTGGATACCCGAGCTAGGTATTTTACATTGGTTCATTTTCATATTTTTTTCATATAACACATGTACAAGTTATAGCTCAAATGAAAGCTCTTGCCGGTGCTCATACAGTTCTAGCATTCTTTTTACTGAATTATATTCATGTGTCAAACAGTTGTTGAATGAATTGTGGTGTTTCCATGGCACAGAAATGTAAACAATACATTCATGATCACTAAGCAGCCCCAGATAGCACAGACAGCTGTCATCTCTTACCTTATGCTGAGCGCTTCAGGGCCATTCTCCTCTGTTTTTGAGGTGATGTGCATAAGTAATCCTTTTATATGTCTGATGTGGTCCAAACACAGTGAATTATGTTTGATCAAACAAAAGAATAGTGAAATATGAAAACAAGGATTGGTCTCTGTGGCTTGTACAGCACCTACCATCAGTTGGAATGGAATAACTTTTGCATAGATTATGGTAGAGACATTTTTCTTTTTTAATATCATTACAGATATGTGCAGGAATCAACAAAATTAATTACAGCACGCTAGGACACACAGAACCTAAAAGGTACACTTTCAAATTTGAGTTTATTAAAAAAAAAAAAAAAAAGCGCCTCTTTTTTTAGGTGTTTATTAAAACACAGACAACATATACAGTTATTTTAAACACTTTCAATAGTGTTTTATGAAAATTCAAAGGGTTTTCTTTAAAATGATACCAAATTTTTGCATTTACACCTCTGCATGTGGATTTGGGAAGCTTTTAAATTTGGGAAGGCAAAACCTAGGCGGAAATCCCCAAATAGCAGCAGAGTTTAAGTGGTTAAAGGAGTGGTTCTCCTCTCTTTCACGCTATTGGGTCTGTGATTGGGGATGTGGTCCCCGCTGCAGTATGCATCCCTTATTTTTTTGTATTGAAAGTGGTAACCCTAGAGCCATACTAAATCACACATTCCAAATAAAAACTGAAAAATTGAGCATTTAGAATAAAATATTCTATTAATTGCAAATTAAAAATTGAAAAGCTATAGAGAATCTCTTATTTTGGATGTAAAATTTGGATTTTTAAATAATTTAAAACTAAAGAGGTTTTTTTAGTCCAAATATCTAAAAATTCTTAAATCAAGAAGCATTTTATTGACAAGCAAAAAAATAAATTCTTGTTTTAAGAAATAATATGCTAAAATTGAGTGTGTTTTTCCTTAAAGCAAGCGAAATAATCTGCCAATGTGGTAAGCAAAATAATCTTGATTTTCTTTGTGACGAGATTATTTTATCTCATTGCCAAATCATTTTATCCCACAAACATTCAATCATTCATTTTCTTTTCGGCTTAGTCCCTTTGTTAATCCGGGGTCGCCACAGAGGAATGTATCTTCCAACTGATCCAGCATGTTTTTATGCAGCGGATGCCCTTCCAGCTGCAACCCATCTGTGGGAAACATCCACACACACTCATCCACAATCATGCACTACGAACAATTTAGCCTAGCCAATTCACCTGTACCACATGTCTTTGGACTGTGAGGGAAACCCGGAGGAAACCCGCGCAAACGCAGGGAGAACATGCAAACTCCACACAGAAACGCCAACTGAGCCGAGGCTCGAACCAGCGACCCAGCAACCTTCTTGCTGTGAGGCGACAGCACTACCTACTGCGCCACTGCGTCACCATCCTACAAACATCACAAATGTAATGGAAAACTAGTATGGCCAATGTGCCAACACAGAGTGCTGAAACTTTCTGTGCATATTCATTATCCTAAATGATAAAAGCTCAACATCAAAATACGCTGATGTATCAAGCCACAGACTTATAAAAATGAAGCAGATGTAAAGCAGTGGTAAAAACAATGACACTGTTGTTCTACCAGATGGATTAAAGTAGCAGAAGTTTCCTGAATACCAAAGCCCAACCCTTTCAAATGAACTATAATGTACATAACCAATGTCCAAGGTCCACTGTGATAAGAACACTTCACCTAATGTAAAAAACCACCTAGTAGGTATCTGATTACGGACGATTGAGTGTTTGCCTGAAGCGATGAAATCGAAGTTGGGGTTTAGAGCAACTGGTGAACATGGCCGTTCATGTATTTGGCTGACAGTATTAACTTTCCAGTGCTGCTTCCAGCTGTCAGCCGCTGCTGCCACCTTTTTTTACTGGACTGCAGATGTTGGCTTGAGTTACTTCGACAGAGAGTCTAATGAAACGGTGATCAGTATGTGTGAATGTGGCAAGTTTGGAATAAACTCACCCTTGAGGTCAGCTTCTGGGTTAGCGGTGCTTCCAAATTCGGATCCTCTGGCATGCTCGAAGAACACTACTTTCACTGCAAGTCACCAGCCATGGATTGCCCTGATAAAAACTGGAAAATGCTCCTACACTAAGAAGATCAATTCGGCCCAGCGAGAAGGAGCCTCTGCTGTGGTTATTTACAATGAGGACGGGACAGGCAATGACGTTATACTTATGATGTATTCAGGTATGAAACTTTCTTTACTTGACAAAACACGTCAGTTTGTTTTGAATCAACTTTAGAAATAAATTGAGTTCTGGAGTGCCTTAATGGCACACAGCGGCTATTTGTGACAAGATAACAACTCCATAATGCATTAGATAACTGAATTAATACCAATGCTAAACAGTTTGAGATGTCGTTCTCTATTGTGTTGTAAAATGTCTCAGACGATCACGTTCTCTCACAAAACACGTGTTAGCAAAACTGAACTGTCGCCATTGTTGTAAAAACCGGAACAAGAGAGATGAACTTTTAGCTGAAAAAAATTCAGAATGCACTGTAATCAAATTTTCTTAAGACACGAATTCTTAAAGTGAGAAACAGAGGGAATTTTTCACATCAATGCTCGTGTCACGCTTCTTCAGGCACCAGAATATGAGTTATATATACAGCCAAGCCTGAAATTATTCATACCCCTGGAAAATACTGACTCAAAGTCTTTGTTAAAATGTAAATAAAAATTTAGATTGTTTTTTTTTTCCCCACAATGTTGCCTCTTGTTCATCGTCTTATTTTCTTTTGGCAGAAGTCGGTGTCATTTCCGGTCAAAAAAAAATGTTGGTTGAACAGAAGTAATTTTAAGTAAAAATTTATGGGTAATGAATAATTTCGGGCTTGACTGTGTGCTCTTCACACTAAGAAAAAACTGTTCACTGATTGGTTCTTTTTGGAACCAACAATTTTTTTTTTTTTTTATGGAAACATTGTAAAAAAACATAGTTTTTAGGACTGTGAAATTAAATGACTGAATTAAGGGACTCAAAATGAAAATATTTCTTTGCGTTTTGGTCCTTTACTTCCACAAAACCAGACTGCATAGGTTACTTAGATATTGTGTTCGAAAACTGATTGCAATTTACATAACGAAAAATTTGTTAACATTTTCTAGATTAATTTGAGAATGTCACCAAATTTATCACATCAGTTTGATCTAAAATACATTGAGAAAGACAATAGATTCCATTCTATGCTATAAACAACAAATACATTGTTTTATTAAATCAAGGTAGATCAAATTGGGATTTTGCGAAGGAACTACATGGGGCTTTGAGTAGTTATGAAGAAATTTAATCGTACCAATGTAAAATTTAAATAAATAATTAATAATTATCATTGACTTCTGTTTTCTTCATTAGTTTCGAAAACATAGATTTCATTAAAATTTATAATGACATCGTTAGATTTGCTTTTTGCTGGGAATACTGTTCTCCTAAAAAAAACTAGATTAAAAAAAAAAAACGTAAATAAAAAATTCCTACACATACCTTAGGAATGGAATAGCAGAACATTTTGGCGGTTTTAAAATCTTGAGTTTTTTGAACCGCGGTAAAACGATTGAAAACAGTTATCGTCCCATGCCCATTTGTGAGTAGTTTTAAAGATATTCAATCTTAAAAATGTAAAATTAAAATAAATAATTGATAAAACACACAAAAATATTTACAGGAATGAACACTAACAAATCATGTGACTATCTGTGAATATGCAAATGTACTGTTAACTGACATATTAACTTTACTTATAATGTAAAGATTCATTTTAGAAAATTTGTCACCAAATTGATCACATAAATTTGATCTAAAATACATTGAGAAAGACAATAGATTCCAGTCTGTGCTATAAACAATAAATACATTGTTTTAAACTTTACATTACTTCAAGGTGGATCAACAGCATGTTTTTTTTACAATGGATGCCCTTCAAGCCGCAACCCATCTCTGGAAAACATCATTCACAAACACACTCATACACAACGGACAATTAAGCCTACCCAATTCACCTGTACCACATGTCTTTTAACTGTTCTGTTTCGACTGGGTTGATTGTTGTCGTGCGCGTACTGAAGGGGGGGGGGGGGGGGGGGTATCGCGGGGGCACTTTGGATCATTTTGGAAGGGCACTTTCTATCCAAGACTAAAAAGGGCATGTGCACTGCACAGGTTGAGCCCTATGTGTGCACGTGCCTGAATAGTGTTGTCTTGGTACTGAAATTTAAAAATTGTAATTTCCTGCTAACATTTAGGTGCCGTTGACCATGTCTTAAACACAGCTGATTTGCCATAGTATTCACCAGTGCTCAACAGAGACGACTGTGATTGGCCGTGAAGGTCATCAGTTCACCACTCTTCACCTAGAGCAAACCCAATTACAGGGACACTGGATCGATTTAAAGCCGCGAGGATCGGTCAAGTCATCTGCAGGTCGCTCCTCTGTGTTTGCACGTGGTAAACATTAGTGAAGTGCAGTGAACTGATTTTTTTTGTAAATTTCAGTACCGAAATTCAGTTAAGTTTGATAAATGGCTTCTAAAATGTGAAAGTGTTAGCTAACTAGTGCCATTTCCCTTAACTTAGCTGAATATTAGGTCCGACATCTCTTTATATTTTAACTCTCCATTCAGAACAGACCTTCAGGTCTCTCGAAATCTGTGAAATGATAAATGTGTGTCACCTTCTCTTCGCTGACAACATATACAGTCAGGTAAACAATAATACACCATCGCAGATATTTGTTGTCTGAGCAAAATGAAAAACATTTGTTTGGTCATGTAAATGTAGATGTATAGTGGATCTGACAAACTATTATGTTGAACGTAGGCATGGGACGATAACCGGTTTTAAGGTATACCGGGTTTTGAAAAGTCAAGGTTTTAATAAACGTTAAAAAGTTCAGTTATACCGTTCCTAGGGTATTTGTAAGTTTGTTTATTTGTGTTTTTTATGACTATTTTAAGTTTCTTTTAGGGCAACATTAAAAAAGGACCCTCCACATCCCAAGTTACTGGTCAGTCCATGATTCAGGAAACATCAGAAAAAGAAATCTTGAATAAACCAACATCCAGCATGCTGTAGAGCTGAATAGAGCAGAGACTTGCTTTATATCCAAAGTAAAGAAAGATACCCAAAGTTACCTTTTCAAGTTGAAAATAAATCTATGTTTTTGAAACTAATTGAGACAGCAGAAGTCCAGACTTATTTAAATTATTTAGCCTGACATTTATTGTTTCAAAATATTTTAAATATAAAAAAATAAACCATGTTTAAGGGGGGAAAACGTTTTTAACCCAGACATTTAAAAATAACTTATTTTTAGAGCAATAATTACAATACCGTTATATTGTGGAACCGTGATATTTTTACCTAAGATTATCATAACGTCAGAATCTTATACCAGCTCATGCCTAGTTGAACGGCAGAGGTTTTTGTGGCTATTAGTTAATCTGGGTTTTGTGGAAACATTTGTATGTCAAGTTTGTGAAGTAAAAGGATAAAATAGACCACTGAAATAACCTGGCTTTTCTATTTCATTGGCATCGTTTCTTATTAAATAAATATAATTCGGCAATTATTTCAAAATGTCCAAAACTGTTGATCAGCTTTTGTTATGAAAGTATTTAAAGTCAGAATTTTTATGTCATTAACCTTGACTGTTTATTGTTTAATACGCTTATGGCCCAGTAAAACTTTATGTGAGTTGGGTTTTACCTGAGACCATCAGAATGCATTTTATGACTCACTGTAAACTTGTTCCATAACGTGTTGCACCAAACCTGGTTTTCCTGACTTTTGTGAAATTTGCATAACATGGTTTTGTAACGAGTTATTATCTAGTCTCATGGCAGCTTCTTTTTGAAAATTGAACAACAGTATTTGTTTACATACAGTTGAAGTCAGAATTATTAGCCTCCCTGAACTATTCACCCCCCTCCAATTTCTGTTTAACGGAGAGAAGATTTTTTCAGCACATTTCTAAATATAATAGTTTTAATAACTCATTTCTAATAACTGATTTATTTTATCTTTGCCATGATGACAGTAAATAATATTTTACTAGATCTTTTTCAAGACACTTCTATACAGTTTAAAGTGACATTTAAAGGCTTAAATGGGTTAATTAGGTTAAATAGGCAGGTTAGGGTAATTAGGCAAGTTATTGTACAACGTTAGTTTGTTTTGTAGACTATCGGGGAAAAAAATTGCTTAAAGGGGCTAATAATTTTGACCTTAAAATGTTTTTAAAAAAAAATTAAAATTGCTTTTATTCAACCCAAAATAAAACAAATATTTTCTCCAGAAGAAAAAATATTATTAGACATACTGTGAGAATTTCCTTACTCTGTTAGACATAATTTAGGAAATTTTTAAAAAGGAAAAAAAATCAAAGGGGGACTAATAATTCTGACCAAAATATGTTTTGACCTATCAATGCATTTTAGCTGTAAATATAACCCAAGTTGCCCTGCTGATGAAGAATCACTGCAGCAATATATAAATCTGCACATCACATTTTTAAATAAAGTTTTCATTTGCTGTTATGTTCATCCCTTAAATCAACAATCATGGCTAATATACTATTTTATTTCAACAGGTGCTGATGATCTAGTTGCTATCAATATTGGCAATATTTTAGGCACACAGATTGCTTACCTGATCAACAATGGTTTGGATGTTAATATGACGATTAATGTAGCCACTCCAACTGGCGTGTGGAAGGGTACATGGGCATATGTGCTGTCTTTCACTTTCATTGGAATAACAGCCGTCACGATGTTCTACTTTGCATTCCTGTTTATGAAACGCATGTACATAAACCGACAACTTCGTAGGCAACAGGTAAAAGTTCACTTAAGCACTCTCAAACGTTTATCGTCTAATATAACATTAAATATTTGTCTTATTTTCTACAGTAAGAAATCTCATAAGTGATATTTTAATATTTATTCTGTTCTGTCATTCATTTCTGTGCAGATGGAGATAAAAAGAGAGACTGAAAAGGCAATTGGAAAGTTAGAAGTGCGGACTCTACGGACAAATGACCCGGTATACAGCTATTACAAAACAACAATAAAAGAACAAAGAAATAGCTCTTAAAAAATAAAAAATAAAAGCTTGCTTTATTTACTCAGATATAGATAACTTGACCTTTAGCTGAACTCGTGTTTCTTATTGATTCATAAAATGGGTGCTGTCATGGTGCACCTTAGATACTTTAGTAAACAAACACTAAAACATAAGACTGAAACTTAGTCAGTAAACATTTTAAACTGAAATAAAATAAAAAAAATGCACACTAATTGAAAACTAAAAGTAACTGAAACTAACAACAATCACCAAAAGACTAATTGAAATAAAATAATAATTAGCAAATTGAATTCATTCATTTTCTTTCTGGCTAAGTCCCTTTATCAATCTGGGGTCACCACAGCAGAATGAACCGTCAACTTATCCAGCATATGCTTTACCAACGGATGCCCTTCCAGTGGCAACCCATTGCTGGGAAACACCCATACGCTCTCATTCACACACATACACTAAGGAAAATTTTGCTTATCAAATTCACCTAAAGCGCATGTCTTTGGACTTGTGAGGGAAACTTGAGCACTCTGAGGAAACCCACGCAAACACGGGGAGAACATGCAAACTCCACACAGAAATGCCAACTGAGCCAGCCGAGGCTTGCATCAGTAACCTTCTTGCTGTGAGGCGAGAGTGCTGCCCACTGCACCACCACGCTGCCCTGCAAAATGAATAATTAAATTAAAATTATTAACATGTATGATTTGACCAGCCTGATCTCACGAGAAAACGTAAGTATTTTACGTTTTGCCAGTTTAGTGGCTAATTCGTACAAATTCGTACGAGTTCAGTCGTACGAAATGGTACGATTTTAAAAAGGAGGCGTGGCACCTGACCCCACCCCTAACCCCAACCATCATTGGGGGATAAGCAAATCGTACTAAATTGTACGAATTAGATCGTACGAATTCATACGAATTAGCCACTAAATGGAAAAGTTACGAATTGCCGTGAAATTGTGTTGGATTTGACCTGTGGCTGTTTAGAGAAGAACATGTAAATGGCACTTTTACCATAAAACAGACAAGACCTGTTAAAGTCGGCAAGAAACAGAAGTTAAGAAATATTGAGGGTGGTGAGAGCGTTGGTTATTCGCTATCAACACCCAGCAAAAAGCGTTTGTGTTTAATAGACATCTAAAAGACATCTAAACGTAGACAGCTTGGCTAAAACAAGGCTAATCTTGGGCTGTCAGTGAAAATCTAATAGATATTTAAGGATTGCCCAAAACTAGACTAGTCATCAAATAGACAGATTAGACAGACTTTATATGTGTAGTCATTAATTTCTGTTTAGATGAAGTTAGTTTTTTGCTTATTCTTAGAGATCTTTAAGATTTTCACATACTGCCCAAGTTTACCCTGGTTTTAGTCAAGATGACTGTTTTTTTGACCTCTATTGTGAATTTCATACGCTTGACATTATCCTGAATTTAGAAAAACTAATTATATAAAAACGAAATGGAAATATGTTCAGAAAATAAAAACTAAGCTAAAACTAACAAAACCATTAATGAAACAAACTGAAACTTACACTAGCTGGCCTCTATAACACTCACCCCCCCCTAATCTCACTCCCATCCGGGTCACGGCACCAATATATGGCACCCTCTCTGAGCTGGGATTGAACCAGTGACTTTCCGCATAGGAGTCAGCTGCAAGGAGGCTTGAGACCATGGCCTCTAGCGTCTGTTGCTAGAGCACCTTTTACAGGTCAGAGGACTGATGTTTTACCTGCACAGCACTTCACTAGCTGGCCTCCATTACACTTACCCCCTTTAACCTCACTCCCATCCGGGTCACGGCACCAATATAACCCCCCTGTTCTTACATCACCCAACCCGCTCTGAGCTGTGATTCAACCAGTGACTTTCCACATGGGAGTCGGTTGCACTAACAAGGAGGCTAAAGACCATGGACTCTAGCGTCTGTCACTAGAGCACCTTTTAGAGGTGAGAGGACTGAGGTTTCACCTGCACATCACTTCAATATCAGGCCTTCGTTACAAAAGGACACTGTTTGTTTTCAGAAAATAGAGATGGGAAAGAGGTTGGCGGGTGATGGGGGTTGGGTTGTTTGTTTGTTTTTACATGAAAAAAAAGTGTTTCTATAGATGATTTGTCAAGACCACTCAGCATTGCATGATGTTTAGAAGTTGTCCTGTGGAGGAGGAGGAGGTCCTGGTTTTGATCACAAGGTTTCAGGTGATTCCGGAAACATGGGTTTTTAGTTGTCGTTTGAAGACTACCCATGAATCCACAGTCTGTGTAAGAATGGGAAGACCATTCCACCACTGTGGAACATTGAATGAAAATGTTTTGGAAAGTCATTATTGCCTTTCGGTGATGGTACCACAAGGTGATGCTCATTCCCTGAAAGGAGGCTCCTGGAATGGAGACCTTCAGGAGCAGGTGGTAAGAAAGTGTGGTGCCAGTGGCTGTTCTGTAAGCAAGCTTCAATGATTTGAACTTGATACAAGCCTCTACTGGTAACTAATGCAGAGAGATAAGAGAGGTGTTACATGAATTATCTTGGGCTTAATAAAGACCAGGCAAGCTGGAGCATTCTAGATCATTTGTAGAGGTTTAAGGGTGCAAGATTGTAGTACAGCTAGAAATAGCATTTCTGTAGTCCAGACATGAAAAAGAGCTGTCACTTAAATATGTGCAGCATGACCTGTTAGGAAGAATTTGATTTTTCTGATGTTAAAAAGTGCAAACCTCCATGATCCAGCTGTGTTGGCAATTTGCTCTTTGACAGCTGATCATCCAGGATTACCACAAGATTCCTTACTGAATTGCATGGGGTAAAACTAGATGAAGGGAAAACAAGAAGTTCATTTTTGGCAACATTGAGCTAAAGGTGATAGGTCTTTCATCCAAGTCCAGATATATTGAAAGTAATGCTTAAGTGATCTGAAGTGAGCAATGGTTTAACTGTGACTTTACCAGAATTGCAATGTCTTGTCTAGATAAGATTTGTGTGTGATTGTGGTGGTAAGCTGCTTGAGGCTGAATAAAATTATGAGAGAATGGAAATCTGTAGCATAAGGTTTGTACAAGTGAATGCTGAAGTTATCTAATACTGTAACTTATAAAAGAAACAGCCAATTCTTCAGTAAATGCACCTAACTGACCAGAAGGATGGTAAATGAGCAGAAAGTCAAATTTAGCAAGAGAAGTGATACAGACTGACTGGTATTTAATATTATTGATAAAGTGAGTACAAATGGAGTATTTCCAATTATTCTCAGTATATTCCTCATTCATTAGAAATGAGAAACCCAGTCTTTCCTCCCCTTCCAATCAGGCGGGCAGTGTGGGTGAATGCAAAGTTTTTAGAGAGAGCAATTGCAGTAGGAGTCCTAGAGACGAATCCAGGTCTCAGACAAGGACAGGATGTTAAGATTAGATTATGATGCAAATGCTGGGATAAAGTCTGCTTTGTTGACAACTGACTGACAATTCCACAGACCATAAGGAAATGTGTATAGGGTGTAAGTTGTTGATGTTTCAGTGGCATCTGCGTGTGTTGTGTGTGCATGGAATTGTAATGACAGGAATGTTCTGCAAGCACATAGTGTGAAAAGTAAATGGAAAAGCCTACTAGTGTTGTGGTGGTATCCCTGATCGGTGTAGTCATGTAAGCCAAGTCAGTACCCTTTTCCCTTGTTGGTCTTCACACGATTATTGCTTTCGATGACATGGTAAGCGTTTACACCCAGGTTTATATACAGCTACTCATGCTCCACTGAACTGAATGAAACTGTGCTCAACTGTTCATTAACTGCCCAACAAAGCCTCCAGCTCACGAATGCAGTGAATTGAAATCAAAGCTGCTAAGAGCCCTATCATACACCCGGCTCAATAAGTCGCAAGACGTGTTTGGCATGATTTGTTGCTATCATCAGACCAGGGCAATGTTCACATTTTGCGGCATGTTGTTTAAATAGCAAATCCATTTGCACCACTTTTTGGACTCATGGGTGTTCCAGTCTAAAAAAGAGGTGTGTGAAGGCGCATTGTTGATGAGTTGCTATTCTTAGGAACTGAAATAGACTGTGCCATTGACAAACTAAAACCTGGTCTAAGTCTAAAGTATTATTTTCTACATAAATATAAAAAACAACTACCTCCATGCCTTCTACATGTTGGGGGCTTTTTTAAATTTATGATAATTTGCATTTTTTTAATGTTATTATTAAGATTAGAAGTATTTATTATATGCATATTTATATTTGTTTAATAAAAGTTTTTGGATATAACTTTTTTGACCACACTCCGTAATTATTCTTCATTTATTCGTTTGGTGGAAATTAGAACTGAATTTAGAAATAGTTTTGCTTAACAAACTAAATTAAATATGTAGGCTAATGGATGTTTTCAGTGGAGTGTGTACAACACCGTTTCGTTATCCACAAAAGTAAAGGAGTAAAGTAAAGAGTAGAGGTAAACAAAAGAGAAAGTAAATAGGCAGAATGGAGGAGGCTCATTCTTTATCCTCGAGCTGCAGATTGTCTGTTTAACTATTTTTTCACTAGTGAAGCGTTCAGTTTATCCTCTCATAAAGTCCACTATGTAAATAGCAAATGCGCCATGGCGTGACGCAACAGACTTTTAAAGACACCAATAACTCAATATAAGAATAAGCACAACCCATGCGCCAGGGTGCAAAATGTATATTTCAGTCCTTAAAATAACAAAAGTAGTTTCGGACACACCCTTAATGCTTTTGCCATGCGCTTTACAATTTGCGCCCTTTTTTTTACTGAGCGTAAAAACAAACATATTCCTGTGAAATTCAGTCTATGTCCAGTCTCTAAAGAACTTTTGACTGATTTTGACCCGACCAGCATACTTGTTTAAGCATTTGAACAGAAAGCATTCTACAACAATACTCGTCACCAAGGAGGACACCGGCGCCCAAAAGCATGATGGCCCAACTCAGCCTGAACAGGCTAAATAGTGTTTTTGTGCACAATCTGGAGTGAAGGTGTCTTCTGAACGTGAAGAGAAGCATAACTGCTTGGGGCAGTTCACATATCTCATCTTTTGCACATATTAGTAGTGCACATTGCACGCGCTCGCATTTCCCAGGTGTACCAGTTGAAAACCATGAGTCGCATGACAAGAACTGACCAATCAGCTTCTTACTTTGTAAGGAATATTAGGGGTGTAAAAATTAATTGTTTCTTCTGTATCAAGACAATTCGGTATCGATTCAGTAATAATCATAACCGGTTATTATGTACTGACGTCATTTATCTCCTATGCGCTCTGTCGCGAGGGAGGTGAGCGCCGGTATTTACAACACTCAGCCAACTCAGGGCCGGCCCGTAGCATAGGCTCCATAGGCAAATGCTAAGGGTGTGCATATCCAGTGGGGCGCCAGAAATGAGCGCGCTTCAGTTAGTTTTGTTTTCGATTTTCCTGACACACATTTAGTTATAGACGGCAATAACTCAAAAATCTCTTACCCTAAAAAGATCTAAAGTGTGTTTCCTACAGAAAGACAAAGCTGGTTATGTTTCACAGCTGTCTTTCTTTTTTTTCATCTGCGTTTACTTTAGCCGGCAGAGCTCGCGCTGACAGGAGCTCTCAGTAAGGGACCGTCGGAAAAGTGCTTATTTTTTTTCGTTTTTCTGCTCCGCTCAGTTGCAAGGGCTTAAGTGTGTGTGTTTGTGTGTGTGTGTGTGTGTGTGTGTGCGTGCATGTGTTTGTTTGATGCTGTCTATGTTTGTGAATGTGTTTGAATGATAGACAGTGTGGTGCTGTGTGTCTGTGTGTTTATACAGACAGCATGTTATAGCCTCCCCCCTAAAATATAACACTGTATATGGAAAGCATCGTCAATGCACCGTGATGCACCGAGATATCGAATTGAACCGAATCGATGGCATGATAATCGTAACCGAACCGAACCGTGAGACCAGTATAGGTTCACACCTCTAAGGAATATACACACTTCGGTAGACTAATTACCTCAGACAAACACAGAACACCCAAACACTGCTGTGCTTTTTCATACTATGGATGTCAGTGGTTTCGTGTATCCAGTTTTCTAGTCTTTCGAATATCTTAAGCTGCTATGATTAACTCATTGTAATATTTTTCAGTGAATATTAAACTACTGAAAGAGCTGCAGTTTATTTTGTATTTTCAGGGGTAAAATTTATATGTTTAAAAAGTAACTTCAAAGTAATTAGTAATTGATTATTTTTACATGAAGTAATTAGTAATGTGATCAAATTACATTTTTCGAGTAGTAATCAGTAATTTGTAATGAATTACTTTTTAAAAGTAACTGACGCAACACTGTGAGGTTCAGATCTAGCCATATTACCAAAATGTATTGTATACACACCCCCCAGTTGAAGGGGGGGGTGTACACATAGATATACACATATACACATATGTCTATAATCGGGAGTTTTCCTGGATGTTAGTATGCATTTTTTTTTAATGATGAAAATTTTTATTTGACATCACTTTTCTACATTGATGGATCACTTATCGCACAGGCATTCCTGACAAAAAGCTTGTGTTTGTGTGTATGAAAATGTACTATTCACTCTCCCTGTTAAATTTGATCTAATCGTGTGCTGAAATACACCTCCTCTCCTGCTTTCACTTCTCATACTGACGGAGGGAGCGATTTGTTTGTGAATGAATCTCCGTTATGAACGACTTGTTCACTAGCCGACAATAGTTTCTGGCACCACAGTATCTCTTTGTCATATTTCTTTTGCATTGTTTGCTGATTTATTCAACAAGCCTAGCATAAACCGAGTGTTTAGTGCGAGTTAGTGCTGCTTTGCCTTATGGTGAATGCAGACTATAGCTATTATTATCAATAACGTGACATGTATAGCACAAATTTCAAAACATACAAAAACGTAAAAAACTTAATCCTATGAAATGTTCTGCCTTTGTGCTTTGTTTTCTTTGTTTGCTCGTTACTTCACCCGTAGACAGCGCTTAAGTCCAGCATCTTCACGTAATAACACTGTCTTGACTAGTGCGGTTGAATGACATTTGTCCTGGGAGCACTGTACCAATGTGGCGGCGCTATAGACGCATGCTCAGGGTCCCTATGCGATATCTAGTGTATATATCTATGTCACAAATTGAGGAGCGGGGAAAGGAGGCGGAGTGGCGTGACAACGCGGGGAATCCTTCACAAACTGAGGAGCGATCACAAACCGAAAGTGGCAAGAGCGTCAAAGTAGCCAGAAGTCATTCATTTTTTAACGAGAACCGGCGGCGAGAAACAGCGGCGCGTCTTCATTGGCTATGACGCGGTTCGGCGGCAAGCAATCAGAATGAAGTAGTCCACCGCCTGAGCGGAGTTCAGAGAACACAGACCTGTAAACTTTGGTTCCGACCACAGTTGTTCCCAAGAGTTTGATTATTGCGGTTCCTGGATTTTCAATTATTAAAAATCGCGACGACGTTGGGCCCCCTAATCACGCAGGGCCCCCCCGCGGTGGTTGCCCTGCGGGCCCGTCCGCTACGCCACTGCCTCTATATGATTTTGAATTCAGTATTCTACTGAAGAAAGGGATGTATATCATGGATGGCCTGAAAGTTAATTAATTATTTGCTGATTTAACAAAAAAAAAAAAAATGGTAGGAAAACTATAGCTTTAAGAGAGCATTTCAGCTTAAGTGAGTTTTAAAGATGAATTTTGAGTTGAATTAAAAGTACAATGTCTGTGTGTTTTAAAGGAGGTTGATTCAGATGACACTGGCTGTGTGGTTTGCACTGACTCTTACCAACGTGGTGAACAAGTCACAGTTTTACCCTGCAGGTGCAGTATAAAGTTAACATATGATTTCGGTTAAACATTACTTTAGTACAGTAACAGTATAAATTATTTAAATAGACTGTCTTCATTCTAACACAACATGTATACTGTATGTTACATGTTGTTAAATCACAGAGGTAAATCAAAATCCCTTTAAGCCAAGAAAATTAACCTGGCAGCAATCTATGAAATTCTTCTTATCTCTTTGAATGGGGAAGCATCAAATTCTCCAAAACTGCTTGCCAAGCTT